CCCTATCTCTGTAACCCCCTCCAGCCCCCTACACCCCTCCCTGTCTCCGTAACCCCCTCCAGTCCCTATCTGTACTCCAGATTCTGGATGAGTGGATCCCTCATTCCCATCGCTGTGCCATTGGTGGCTGTACCTTGAGCTGCCTGGACCCTAAGCTCTGGAACATCCTCCTTAAATCTCTCTGTCCTTCACCAGGAGTCTCCTTAAAACCCACCTGCCTGAGTAATGTTTCAGGCACCTGCCCGAATATCTCCTGAAGTTACTTAGTGTCAGACTTTTTCTGATTATACTCCTGCTGAGAACCAACTTATGTTTCTCCGTGTTAAAGGCCTTACTGAAACCTAATCTTTGATATTGATTCAGAAACGTCTGACTCAGAGACAACAGAAATTATTTTCAGTGATAAGAGCCTGCAGAGAGACACTCGCCTGTCCTCAGGCTGGTGCACGCATTCAGCCACGCTCTCTCACACACACAAACACTCTCTTTCTCACATACACTCTCACTCTCACACATTCTGTGTCTCACACAGACATTCTGTCTGAAAACACACTCACTCTCACTCTCACACTCACACACACACACACAAGCGCGCTCTCACACACACATGCACGCGTGCGCGCTCACACTCACACACGCTCTCACACGCGCGCTCTCACACATACACGCGTGCACACACACACACGCACGCACGCACACACACACACACACACACACACACACACACACACACACACACACACACACACACAGTTTCACACACAGATGTATGAGCTATCATTTCCTGATTGCTGTAATCCTTTTTTTTCTCAATGGTCGCAGCTATGCGGAGCAGTTGGTTCTCTATATGAAGGTGACAGAGCTCCTGGCATCAGCTTTACACATGAGCAAGAACCAGATCAAGCTAGGCAAGCTGTGCCCATCATCGACTGTCAAACAAGGTGAGCTGTCTCTGCCCACTGTGGGTAATCCTCTGGCACACATAGCAGACCGGAAACAAGCTGTGAAAGGACCAGTTTGAATGGAACACTCCACAGCAACAAAGCTCTAGCTTTCACAAGGATTTACTTGCTGCTGTTTTGGAGAAAGTCGGTTTGGGAAAGGGTACAGAAAACATTCAGTCAGCATTAAATCTAACCAAGTCATTTCACCAAGCCTGGCCAGGAATTAGTGAGTTCTAGAATGAGACAGCACAGAGGATGGCCATTCCCCCCATCATGTCTCTACTGGTTCTTTGAAAGGGCATTCTAATTAATCCCACTCTCCCTGTTCTTCCCCTGTTGCCTTGTTATGGTTTTCTTTTCAATATAGGATTAACACAGATAGAATGGGCATGATCTTTGCATTTCCGTAGAAATCTTGGCACAGATTCCCTGGGAATCTCCTCAGTAGCACACTGCCATCATTTAGTCGAACATCCCATCAGTGGGTAAAAGACAATGGGCTGGTTGTTGGTCAGGGTTATTTCATCCCAAAACCCCTTTAAAGAACTGGACCCAAAACCAGATTCCTCCTTCTCACTCTGTTGATTCAGCTTTTCTTTTAAGGAATGGCCATTGGTCTGAAGCCAAGGTGTCAGATTTGCATGCTGGGTCTGCTCAGGGATCTTCCAAACATTCTCCAGCTTGGTCCTGAAGTGTGTCAACACTTTGCCTGGTCAAAATGAGGCGCCAACGTGGAGTGAGCTGTGTTGCATTGTGCACTGTGCAATGTGACAAGTTACAAATGACCCCATCATGAACCTATGTCACAAGCACTTTCCAAATCTGCAGTGCGACAATGTACTTCAGATCATTGACAAATGCTGGTGGAATCTATTTGTACTTTCATTAGAATCACAATGGCCTCATGGTATTATCGCTGCACTATTAATCCACAGACCCAAGCAATGTTCTGGGGACCCGGGTTCAAATCCCACCACGGCAGCTGGTGGAGTTTGAATTTAATAAATATCTGGAATTAACAGTGTAATGATAATTGTTGGAAAAACCCAATGTCCTTTAGGGAAGGAAACTACCATCCTTACCTGGTCTGGCCTATATGTGACTCTGGGCAATTAGGGATGGGCAATAAATGCTCCCTAGCCAGCAATGCCCTCATCCTATGAATGAATAAAGGAAAAAAAAACAGAGATGTACAGCATAGACGTTTCAGTCCACCTTGTCTGCACTGACCAGATATCCTAAATTAATCCAGTCCCATTTGGCCCACATCCCTCTGAACCCTTGCTATTATATCTGTTCATGCACTGGGGTCTTCACTAGCTAAGCCAAAATTTATTGCCCCGTCCCTAGTTGCCCCTTGAGAAGGTGGGGGTGAGCTGCCTTCTTGAACCGCTGCAGTCCATGTGCTGTAGGTTGACCCACAATGTCCCTTAGGGAGGGAATTCCAGGATTTTGAGCCAGTGACAGTGAAGGGACGGCGATATATTTCCAAGTCAGGGTGGGAGCGGCTTGGAGGGTATATTATCTCAGTAATAATGATTCTAGAATAGAACATGACTTGAACCTAAAATTTAAATAAGAAAGTGGCTCTTTGTATCTCTACAGTGGTGAAGAAGCTGAACGAGCACTACAAATCCTGTGTGTTTCACTGTCGCTGTCTCACAGACAGACTCCAACGCTTTTTCATTCATAAACAACGGCTCATGGACAGAATTAACAGCATCACTGCAGCGAAGCTGATTTACAGTCACACTGTGCAGATGGTAAAAATATCTCTGTCGCTCCTACCCACACAGATCCTGGCCAGCTGAGGCCTATCTCGGACACTCTCCACCTACTGGTGGGCAGAGACGGGTAATGAGGAAGAGGGAGATGTTGAGGGAAGACTGTAGGCAACAAGAGAGGCCTAAAGGGGCAGCAATGAGGCACAGGAAGAGTACAGAGTGGGCTGAGTGTTGGAGGGAATGGAGCACTCAGCTCTGCCCTGCGCACTGGCCGTGTGTTCCTCTCCGAGTCCCCATTCTCGAGCTTACAGCCGGGAGATGAACACAGTGCAAAACAGGAAAAAAAAACAATGTGCCAGAGAACATCAGAACTAGGAGCAGGAGTAGGCCATTCAGCCCCTCGAGCCTGTCTCCCCATTAAAGGGGAGGCAATGGCCTAGTGGTATTATTGGTGGACTGTTAATCCAGAGACCTAGACAACGTTCTGGGGACTTGGGTTCAAATCCTGCCACGGCAGATGGTGGAATTTGAATTCAATAAATATCTGGAATTAAGAATCTAATGATGACTGTGAATCCACTGTCGATTGTCAGAAAAACCCGTCTGGTTCACTAATGTCCTTTAGAGAAGGAAACTTTACCCGGTCTGCCTAAAATGTGACTCCAGTCCCACAGCAATGTGGTTGACTCTTAACTGTCCCTGGGCAATTAGGGGTGGGCAATAAATGCTGCCTGGCCAGCGATGCCCCCATCCCAAAAACGAATAAAGAAAAAAAATTATAATCATGGCTGATCACATCTTAGCCTTCACTCCACTTTCCTGCCCACTCTCCATAACCCTTCACCCCATAACTGATTAAAAATCTGTCAACCTCCTCTTTAAATTTTCTCAATGTCCCAACATCCACCACATTCTGGCAGATTGAATTTCACAGATTCAGAACCCTTTCAGAGAAGTATTTCCTCCTTAGCTTTATTTTAAGTCTGCCACCCCTTTCTCCTCAAACCGTCACCTCTCGTTCTAGATTGCCCCAAAGAGGGAAACATTTGCAAAACTAACAGCAAAAGCTTCTATAAATATTTGAGAGAGCAAAGGACTGAGGATAGTGTTGAGGTAATATCAGTGGGCTCGTGATTGTGAGGCTCAGACTCTGGGGGAGTTCTGAAGGAGGGTCACTGTACTTGAAACCTTAACTCTGCTTTCTCTCTTCACAGATGCTGCCAGAACTGCTGAGTTTCTCCCACACTTTCCGTTCTTATTTCAGCATCTTCTATATTTTCCTTTTAATGCACTGGGGTCACAGGTTCAAATCCCACTTTGGCCACTGGTGGAATTTGAAAATTCAATTTTAAAAATCTGTAATTAAAACCAAATTTCAGTGACAGTGACCATGAAGTTATCGTTAACTGTTATTGAAACCCATCTGGTTCACTAATCTGCCATCCTTTCCTGGTCTGGCCTACCTGTGACTCCAGACCCACAGCAGTGTGGTTGACTCTTAACTCCCCTCTGTAAAGGGCTAGTAACTGCCCAGTAAGTCTGAAAAGGGCACTCAGACTGAAGGTAGTGAGGGCTGGGCAACAAATACTAGCCTTGCCAGCGATGCCCACATCCCACAAAAGGATAAATAAAGAAAACAGGGCAGTGTGGTCCGTAAAGAGCAGATGCAACTGTAGTTGAAAATACACAAAACTTTAATGAAAATATCTGTCTCCACAAAAGAGGAAAGGATAGAATTTCAGCAATACAAAGGAACTTAAAAAGGAATCAATGGAAGGAGATGAGTGGATTAAAAATAAGTGCAAAATAAGAATGGAGAAAGTAACGAGACTGAAGGAGAACTGTCCCCAAGATTTGATGATTTCTATCCCAAAAGTATTCCAAGGGAAAAGGTGGAGAAAATCAAATGCATTTGTCTTAATATTTCAAAGCTTGGTTCAGTATTGTATTTTATAAAATTGTTAACCTCACTCTGGAAGCAAGACAGAAATCTGATAAATACTTCAGTGTCTGCTTACCACTGGCTGTGAGGAAGCTATCCAGATCAGGGCGACTGAACACATGGACTTTTACAAGTTGCTGCACTGTGTCAGGGTGGATTTGTGAAGCATCAGACATTTCTGATGAATCCAGCTGAATTCCGAGGACCTTACTAGCACAGTGCATTAGAATGTGTCTTCAGATGTTGTTGATATAGCAGCTCAAACAGTGTAATGAGGAAAAGTGAAAGCGTAGAGGACTGGAGACAACTTCATTAGTAACTGAGACAACAAGGTGCAGGGCTGGATGAACACAGCAGGTCAAGCAGCATCATAGGAGCAGAGAGGCTGACGTTTCGGGCCTTGACCCTTCATCAGAAAAGGGGGAGGAGAAGGGGGTTCTGAAATAAATAGGGAGAGAATGGGAGGCGGATAGAAGATGGATAGAGGAGAGGATAGGTGGAGAGGAAACAAACAGGTCGAAGAGGCGGGGATGGAGCCAGTAAAGGTGAGTGTAGGTGGGGAGTTAGGGAGGGGATAGGTCAGTCCAGGGAGGACGGACAGGTCAAGGGGGCGGGATGAGGTTGGTCGGTAGGAGATGGAGGTGCGGCTTGAGGTGGGAGGTGGGAGGAGGGGATAGGTGGGAGGAAGAACAGGTTAGGGAGGCAGGGACGAGCTGGACTGGTTTTGGGATGCGGTAGGGGGAGGGGAGATTTTGAAACTTGTGAAATCCTGCAGCCCAATGGTATCAATGTGGATTTCACAAGTTTCAAAATCT